ATTGCCAAGGTTTCGTTTTTGAAGTTTCAGAGGCTCCTGATCCTGATTTTTGACATAGGCATAATTATACGCCTTCAACCCTAGCTTTTCTACTCCCCTTTTAGACATGTCTCTCTCATCATAGATGTCCCCGTACCTGTACCCTTAAAACTTGATGGTCGTGCGTCTCATCCACCAGAGATTAGTTATACCAACGATCGTGTGCGACCACAGAAAATTCTCTCAGCATGAAGGGGAGCGTCATTTAATTTCTTGCTATACATGTTCGTAGCTAACTTTTTGTTCAGAAAGGCTAACTTGTGCTGAGCATTATCCTCAACTAACTGATGACAGCGTTGCGTGGGAAGTACAGGGTCACCATACTTGACGCCATTTTCTTTTTTTCGAAAAGATTCCTTCAGCTAGAGCAGTTGGAAACCAATGGGCTCAACAAGTAGGTTAGATGATACAAAAAACCCAACTGCTCTAACTGAAAAGAAGAAGCTTCAGTGGAGTTATAAAATGTCAAAATCCATAAGGCCGCTTACTGCTCTTTCAAAATAAAATTATATACTCACTATTTTGAAGTCACATAACGCCGATCTCGTTAAGAAAACGATTGTCGAATGAATTTACGACGCAATTTCCGCGTCGGACATTATCCACCCGCCATACGCGAAATTATGGATAAAGGTTGATTCTCACTATACCTACATTCCGTTTCCATCCCATATCAGTTTCGTAAACGTTCCGTACAATGTGATTGTATACACAGTATACCTTACGGATAATGTGCATACACACGCAATAGCCTGCTTTAAGCGAAGGCGAATATTTGATTTCAATAATTTACGGAACGGTTACGGAATGGAAACGGAATGTATAGTGAGAATTAACCTTAACACGGAGAATTGTTGGATGAGCTTAAGTATAAGAAATAACGCTAGAGCCAATCCCGGCAGACACTCATTTTTTTGTAGGTTAGTAAGCCTTTTTTACTAATGAGAAACAAAGACGCATTTTGCAAATTTTTTAAACACAACATGGTCTTCAAAGTCCAAAGAATGTTTCGTCAGACGATCTAGGATTCAAAAAATGTATGATAGAGAATGTATGGGCTGTGGGACTTAAGTTCATCTTTGGCCAAAATATGCAATAATTTAATCACTTGTTGCATAAGTTTGCTTACAAAGGGATAGTATTCAAGATATCTTTCCGATACCGTGCATAGTGTTCGTCAGTTTTCTTCAAAAAGGGGAGTAACGCACCAGCATATACAGCGTGTTCTAAAAGTAGGGACTTTCCTTAAACGTAAAAAAGGAATTGAAGAAAAATACTAACTATTGATTTGTTAAAGAATTTCAAGTACTGCCCTGTCATATATATTGTTTAAATAGTACTTGAAGTTGTCGCTGTTCTCTGTCTAGGTCTCCTACTTCCATTGGGTACACCCAGACAGTTTGCACGAAGCTTACGCAGCTCTGTTCGAAACATTAAGGACAATGTTGTGGATCCGCTCGCAGAGTATAAACAGGATCTTGAACCCGCTCACAGTAAACTAACATGAAATCGACAACTACGTTATTGTTCTGAATGTGTCAATTTCGGTTTTTCAAATGCGACTTGTTTATAAACTTTGCTAACCTAGACACTACGCGGCGCCAGATTTGGATTTACGTAGTACTACAAAACATCAAACCTCTTCACGGAGGAGGAGGAAGAGCAGGAGGGTAGGGAAGCATGGTAGGACTGACACATTTAGTTTAGAGTTTTAGAAACTCAATATCTCGATTATCTTAACGCTTTGGTATCACACGCTCTATGAAGAAAAGTCCTAACAGCAACATAATGTTGGTGAAGTGCCTTTACTTCCCATAACAATTGACCACAGGAAGTATGAAGTTTAAAAATAATAAAAATTATCGACTGATTGTCTGGTAGTCCATTGCCCCTCATTAATTCGAAAAGCGCTGCTTAGATTTTTAGTGATATTGACATGAGCTTACTTTTTGCCAAAAGCGGACATGCTTTTTAGGGTAGTCGAGTTTCTGAATATTTTTGAGCGTTATTGGTGTTTGGACGGGTCAAAATTTAGTCGACGTTCTAACCAGTTAATAATCAGTTTAATGGGGGTTCAAAGAATGTGGGAGATAACTGATGACTCTTAGAAATGTCGTATACTAAAATGTTTAAGTCTATTACTAAGTTAATCTCACCTTTGCACAAGGAAAATAAAAAAAATCGGATTATATACTATACATTTTATACTTTATTGAATTTGGCACAGGAAAGAACAATGAGCCTATTTTCTAACATAACATTTCAGTTTGTCATTTTGTTGGGATATAAGTGATTTAAATAGTAAATTTTACATTGATTTACATACACTCATCACTAGCCGTCTAACGCGTTATGGAATATTTCTATTATTATATTATTATTGTAATATTGACGACGTCTCTACAAAAGCAGCTCGCATCTATCTACATTTCGAATTAAGAATTGGAGCATCGTTCCAAGATTCAAAAAACTAATTAACGCACCTCTCAGAGAGATGGAGCATTAAGTTGGCCATTACAAATTGGATTCTGAGAGCTGATGTTCTAAAATGCTTACATTTCTATGTTGGAAATTATGTTGCTTTTGACTATAACCACACTATGAATGTGCCTTAAGTTTGCAAATCTCATGATGTCCGTAAGGCTGCAGCGCAGTGTTTCGTATTTTTGTTTCATTGGATACAATAATTAGTAGATATCTACATTAGATAGCAAACGTTTTTCAATATTGGTAAACGATATATATTTCTGTATAGTAAGGAACTTTTTCATTGGGTGACGGTAATTCTCCTATATATGGTCTTTAGTTAATGCTTTTGTACAAACATCATGCAGCTCTTAATTGTACTGATAATTAATTTTAATAACAAATATCGTAACAATAGTACAAAATTTTGTTACAGCTATTAACCACCTTTACAAAAACTTCTACATAGGTATGCCACTAATGTGTTAAGTACTTGTTGAGTACGCACAAAACGGTTGGTTACACTTATTTGTCATGGTAATATGAAGACTGTTATTATCTGAACAAAAAAATAATATATTTGATTCAGACATGATTATTGACGAAACAACAAAAACAAACAATTTTATGAAATCTATTTCATATGCCATAACAAAAATTGTGTTATAAACTGCTTGTTATAATGCAAAACCTTACAGTTTAAGTACGTAGAAGATATCACATTTTCTATTTTGTTTTCTTAGTACGGCTATAGATACATAATACAAACGGAAACAAAAGTGGGTACAGTTATATACAGTGCCTCATAAAAGACGCGTACATGTTCAGTGATGTGTTTAATAAATACTCATAAACACATTATAAATGTTGCATTCAGGAACATTATTTTGTTATTTATACATTGATTCAATTTATTGTTACGTCAGAATCATCATCAATGGTTTGGTGTAGTATATTTTGGCGTTTGAGCAAAACCTCGATTATTATAAACGTTTTCAAAATATGTTCATGTAGCGTAAGCCTTCCTTAGTCACTGTAACTGTATTTATTACTGTCAGTAGTGTGTTTTGCGACCGGAAAATGAGATTTATATCATACAAAAGATATGCATCTTTGAATACAAAAGAATGATTTCTGGTTCAAGAGTTATAATAAATAAAGAGGCATATGCGATATATTTAATACGAGCATCTTTAAAATAATTGATACCTTTAAAACCGATTTCTATGACGTGGTGATGGACAAATTGAGGAGAAGTAGGGGAAAGTCGCCTATATCGTACTGGCTCCTTAATCGTACCTTGTCGATATTTCAGATATTACGCTTATGTGTAAAACATCTTTCACCACAATTAGAAACCCTCAAGTTGGCAACCAGTAATACCAGCAAAAGTTTGACAGTAGCGCGTATCGCTCCCGACATATTTAACGTTTTATTTTGTGCGGCAAAGTGATATAAAGTTTGGTCGATCTACCGTAAGTAGTTTTGGATATTTTAGTTGACTAAGCCTAAAATCTGTTGTATGCCTTTAAGATTAACAACTTTTATACACTTTTTGATAACTTTAAACATAACGTTATTTCTATAATTTCCAGAAAAACTTTATCTTTATTTATTTGGTGTAAAGTTGCCTTGATCGTACCAGTAGAGATTGCCTAAATCGTACCGGTACGATTAAGGCAATTTATACTGGTAGGTATATATTGAGATGGCCCGCGAGAATGGGGTTATTATTTTACAGCTGCCAGGTCATAATATAACCCACCGTTTACAACCACTTGATGTGGCAGTATTTAAGCCATTCCAGGTCTATTATGACCAATCCGTTGAAAAATGGTTGAGAGAACATCCCGGGAGAACAATCGGTCAATTTCAGGTGACCCGATTAATCGGAGAAGGATATAGAAAAGCAGCATGTGTCGCAAATGCCATAAGTGGATTTAAAAAAATGTTTTATATGGCCTGTGGATAGAAACGTTTTCACAGATGTTGATTTTGAAGGCGGAGATCTTCAAACTGAACAAAAACAAAAAGCACTAGCGGAAAGCAAGGACGCTGACGATACACCTTCGAGCGATGATGATGTGCCCTTGGCGCTTTTAGTTTAAACAGAAATCGTGCGCCACCTCTGAAACTCAACCACCCGATGTTTCTTTCGAAGACATTCTACCAATTCCAAATAGTCCTGGCAATCAGAAAAATGCAAGTAAACGTGCAGAAGCTGCAAAAGTTTTAACTTCAACCCCATATAAGGACGAATTAAAAGCAAAGCAATCTACTATCGAAGAAAAGAAAAAGAGACTGGCAAAAAGAAAAATAGCCAATGGCCAACCGGAAAAAAGTAAAAAGGAAAAATGCTTCGTATGGTTCAAATGACCTAGTGGTAGAAATAGTAGAGGATGAGTGGCTTTATATTATATGTAATGAGTGTAGAGTAGAAAATATGTTACAGTGTTCCTTGTGCAAGCTTTGGTTCCATGAACTTTGTGCGAGTTATGAAGGAAGTTCTTCGTACTTTTGTGACAGTTGTTCCTAAATAAAACATCTAGTTATTATTGTTTGTCCTGTTTCGTTTTTTTGTAATACCAATCTACACACGAGCATATTAAAATTTGTATTCTTGTTTAAATACTACTGTTATGCTACCATACTTAACTGGTACGATATAGCAGATCAGTACGATTTAGGAAACCTAGTGGTACGATTTTGGCGTCTGGTTTCCCAAGTCGTACCATTTGCAATGTTTATAAAAAATGTATTTTTCTCTTAAATTAGATAAGTAGCCACAACAAAAGAAAGTAGAAATATGTAAAAATTATTTAGTTAAATATTTAAAATATAAGGAGCCCCTTAATATTGAAAATGTTAGCTTATTATACATTTTTCCGAAAAATGGTACGATTTAGGCGACTTTCCCCTAACAATTTTGGGAAAATTTATCAATCGTCTCGTGTCTAATATATCTTTCAAGTTTCAAAATGACCCCAGTCTCTCGATTCAAAGAATATAGATACGTTGTAAAGTTTTGTTTTATAATCCCCAATACTTAATCACTACGGCTTGGATAAACAAAAACAAAAAAGATAGAAAATAGGTATTCGAGGGATTACATGTTTTTTATTTCTACGCATGTAATTATACATATCTAACGTTGTACGTTTTTGTAATATTCGAGTATATGGAAAAGTTCTTAGAGAAGTTCCGTCCGGGCTAGTGATGGGAAAGTGCTTATAAAAACCTAAGAACTTCACCTACACCTTTTATATGCCAGATACCAAGCATTTACGAGCTGACTGAAATAATTCTAATTCTACAGCTCGCCGGATAAAAATGTAGTTTTGATGAGAGAACAGTTCTACGTTAATATTATAATATAACGAAACAACAGAAATGTAACCTAGTAGATCATAAAATAAATCTAGTATAGATTTTGTTTTCTTCGTCGATTAGGCATAAAGACAAGGAGATGTATAGAATTGATTTTGCAAAATGTATGTATTTTATGAAAAGATATCAAGTGAGAACAGGTCAAATAATAGTAATAATAATAATCCTGATCTTGCCGGGCCGCTTTTTGGTCCATATTTTAATCCCCCCTCCTGAGTAACTACAAAAAAGTTTGTTTCGCTCCAACCTTCTTTTTTTATTTCTAGGATCATTCTGAATAAGAAATGTAACTTTACTCTAAACTTAGTCGTTTCCGAGTTACAAGCCTTTTAATGTATGAAAAAGCCTGAAAACGGTCATCTTCAATGACTGAAAAAAATGGTCATCTTCATTGACTGAAAACTAGGTCAAAATTAATTTTTTTAGGATTCCCAAGTATTTAAATTAAAGCCAAAAACCTTCTCCAAGAGTCCGAAAAATATTTCACGATTAATTGCGGAGTGTTTTACAAAAACAACATATGAAAAAACGATTTATTTCAAAACTAATAATTTTCTTGAATACTTGTTTGCTAACTACTATTAATAATATCTTAAAAATATGCTATCACAAAAAAATATGTGTGCTTAAGTAATCAAAAACATTCTTTTTTGTACTAGATGGTGTCATTAACTCAATCTCGTTAAATTTGGACTTATGCGGTCTTTGTAAAACAAGCCTCAATTTATCTTACAGCGATTTTCAATCTAGTTTGTTAGGCCAAAATTGGCGAACGTTTGGTGTCCGTAAACTATACATACCACCTTCATTAAATTGAAGCAGAAACCGATGTTTTGTTTATAGCAAATTGTATCGGTAGTAAACTGTTTTAAAATATACGGGGCGTTCCAAACGTCATGGATAGTCATTTTCAATCCGAAACGCCATGTATGTCCTTATCCAATTATGCACGGTTTTTCAGTTATCGCTATTTTGAGTACTTCTGATTAAAACTAACCCTCTAACACCCCCTTTCCATGACTTTTTGGAACGTTATGTATATTTTAAATTTTAACAGCCGATATTTAATTTATCGAACGTGGTCTATATGTACAGTCTGGAAAATCAAAAGTCCGCCAATTTTGGCATAACAAACTAGCTTAAAAAAGATGAGTGTTTTCAGGGTTTTTCAGACATTAAATGGCATATGGTTTAGCTCGAAAACGATTAATATTAGAGAATAGTTACTAAGGACCTTTCTTATTCAGAATGAACCAAGAAATCAGAGAAGCAAAAAAAACTTTTCTTTGTAATTTCTCAAAAGAGAAGGGGATTTAAAAAATGAGCCAAAAAGTAGTCCGATAAGTTCCGGTTTATTGTTCCTAGATCTCTTCTCAGTTGATATCTGTTCATTAAGTGCACACATTTTGCAAACCCAATTCCGGCGCCTGGTCCAACAGTAATTTTTGCTTTTTAAGAAAACATTATCGTAGTTAGGTAGGGAAAGATAAATTTGTCTGTTATCTTTTGTAACTTGATTACTTGAACAAATTATTATTTTCAGGTTCCCTAAAACTTGTGTCGCCTACTTCTGTATAATGTGACAATAACACGAGCTTAACTTTGATACGGGTCCGTCTTTTTTTATATTTCTTCGACATTCTGTAAATATTTATATGTAGAAAAATTCCAAACAAAACTATGGTCTCGTAGTATCTACATTACCTGGTATCTGGTTTGTTCTACGTACATATGCAAACTTTTCGAGATTGTACAGAAATAAATAATATTACTTAAAGTACTGGCTCTTATATTAAAATATAGAAACTTTAACAGCATGGAAACAAAAAAGTCACATTGCACTTTTATAAACGAAATTTTGACCGTTCCTCCGATCTAGCTGCCATTAAAGCATACTTTGTACCATAACGAGGTTTTAAATTGAGTTAAAAGTATCACGTTACACAATACAGAGAAACAAGTAAACTTGCAACATAAACATATTTATCGAATTTGAGTCTCATGCGAAATAAAATCAAAATCAGACGCTTATTCTCCATAGTGGATGGAAAATTATGGGTGGATCAATGAAAGTCAGATGATATAGGACGTTAATTTGGGCGGTGTGGGATTGTAGTTTTATTTTTTAACTTCAGTATGTTTATACGCCTCCAACCTCTGTAGTTCTACGCATCTATTAGGAATATTTAACACATCATAGATTTCCTCGTACATTTACCCTGACGTGTTGTGCTGTATCGCAGGAAAGCGTCGTTGCCAGTTGGATTACCGGTAGCGCAGTAAAAAAATGTCTAAGGACTAATTGTGTGGATCTGTTTGACTGACTTGATACGTTTAATTTCTAAGTAAATTTTCTCTCAGAGGGTGAACACAATCCTTTATGAAATGATAACGGAGTTGCGTGGGAAGTGCAGAGTCAACCTACTTGACACCATTTTATTTCTTGGCGGCCCGTGAAAGTTGGGAAACTAACAGAACTATGCAGTAAAAGTTGAAGCAACAGTTTTTAGTCATAGTTTATAAAGTTTGGATAGATAAGGAACACAGTATAGATAAGATACTCAGTGTTGCAGCACTTCCAGAACCAGCCGTAGACCTGATAGTTTGACTTATAAAGTTAAGCTAAAAATCGTTTTTTTTTTCTAAGATTTCCAGAACTACTGAATTTCGGATAAAACAGACGCAGGCTAATCCAATAGGTATTGAGATCCTCTGTCATCTGGCTTTTGTTCTTGTCCACAACTTCACCTTTACACCCTGTATACTTCAGAATAATGTTTTAGTTTTAATAGATATTATGTACACAACGCTGTAGCATCGAATGGGCACTAACATCGAGTGCTATTATGAAGTTGTTCCTTCAATGCATTCAATGATTCAGTATAAATACCAAATCAGCACCATAGTAACAACTTAAAAAGTTAATAAACTAATCGCTGTATTGTGTAATGGAACTTGTGATATATATTCAACTAAAAGTCTAAGTTTTGTGACAAGCAGCAGATAGGAGAATTCTAATATCGAATACTATATCGGCTGATTCGTAGAGATCTATGTCACCGAATTTTTCTTTTACAAATGATTTCAGTAGTACAGAAAGTAAACAACTTGGATCTATTATGACCTACACAATACATAATAACTATATAGAAACTTTACAAGAAATTTACAAAATAAAAAAAAACAAATAAAAAGAAATAACTACATATAAATAAATAACTTTTAAGATCTTAAGCATATCTACATAACAATACAGATACAACACCAATCAGCAAAATTTTCGATTCAAAAGTCTTTTGGTATTTCGCACGTTCCATGGCACAATTTCGGCCCATTATTAGTGTCTTTTTCAAATGTACAAGTCAAATAAACCTATGAGGTTTTTCGATAGGACATGGCAAGTCAACTTGGGAAAAGAGACATCTGAGAACTTTCTAGTATTCCTTGTACGCACCACGGATACTGATGTGTTTTTTCGACACACATTTATGTTACTTGTGCGGGGCGCAAAATTTAGCGCCCATCACAAATCCGATCAATGAGAACGCGTTTTTGAAGTAGTAGATATACTCAATATGGTCGATTTCTTGTAAAATGTTTCTCAAACTAGAGAAAAATTATACGATTTGCCCCTAATTCTCATATCCAGGAATACTTCATATATCACCTGGTTCAGCTACAATAACCAATTTTTTGCAGTTGCGCCCGAGCACAAAAATGGCGTCGTCGTTTCACCCCTCTACTACCTTCCCACCGTGACGGTAGACGGCGCCAGCGGTATTGTGATGGCCAGGAAAATTAGTATAAAATACATGTTGACCGTAAAGCTAATTAGAAAGAAACAGGGTTTTGGGCACGGTAGTCAAATAGGTAGACGAATATTTACTAGATGTTTGATGAAGAAAAAGCATTCTGTAATTTTATTTAGGTTTTCAAAGAATTTATTAAGCAGAATTTTATACAGCAAGGACAAAGATCAATGATCTAATTTGACTGACCTGTTAGTAACCTATAAAGAGAAAAAAGTTTTTCATAGCTAATCTCACTTGACATGATGAATTGTTAAAATGTTATCCTTTTTTCCAAAATTACTCCTCTATATCACTATATTTGGTCCATAGTCAGAGTAGGACCCAAATGA